AAACAAATTAATCAAAAAAATTCTTTCACTCTGCAAGAAACTCAAGAGATTGCTCAAGCTCAAATAAAAAACAAATCACTCACAAATTCAAGTATTTTAGTTAACAATTTATAAATTTATCAAATCAGTGTTAAACTTTGTAAAAATTTTTGGTCTTTTGATTTTTTTTAATCTATGTCAATTACGCGTTTTCCCACATTATCTGCTCATCTCATTAAAAAAAATAGAAATTTATACATATGCATTTTAGTCTGAGAATATCCAAATTCTTCAGATTTGGTAATCAAAGGTAATCAGATACCATTTTATCCGCTTTTGTTTCTGTACAACATTGATATCTATTTAATTTACTAAACTTGGCGCGATAACGCTATCAGAGTTAGAGATTTGCGAATGCAAGTTTTTTTGGCTTTGCATCACATAATGCAACATATGTCGCATGATGCATTATGTAATTATATATAATATACTGTGAAATTTCTCAAAACTTATTATAATAAACAGACTTTGTATTATTACTGAGAGGTTATCATATTTGAAAATATAACTATTGTATAGTGGAAACAGAACAGACCTGGTAGATTAATTTTTTATTGAATTTCACAGGGTATGATTTTGATAAAAACAAGTGTCTATAAATGATGAAATGACATAGATTAAAATTATATTAACTTCTATGTATTTTTAAATTAGGCAACCTGCATTGCATTATGCAGTATTATGCAGTATTATGCAGTGCAGCATGCAGCAGCATCACTTACATAATGCATACAGCACATCTCTAATCAGAGTACATGTATGCCGCAGGAAAACGGAAAGTGAATGAGACCCATGTTATCGACTAAATCTAACGTTCTATTTATATAACGGCACGTAATTGAAAAGGTAAATTCTGGTGTCGATGTTCCGCGTCATTTCTGAATTTACGTTGATCTGAATTGGAAAATGTCACTCGTGTTTTTAGAATTGATACCGATTAATAAAAATAATACTAATAATTAATTAATTAAAGTAAAATAAAGGAAATTGCTAATTTAACTGGGGTAAAAAGCTATATCTCAAAAATGTACAAAGCAATTAAGATCAGATATTTTAAGTAAAAATGTTTAGCACTCCTCAAAACCTTAGCCTTAACAAAAATTCGGACTATCTATTATACATAACTCCTCTTTGTCACAAACTGCACCCTAACCCTATTAACATAATTTACCTCCGATTAAATATAGTTATTTTTCTTTTTTTTTTTTAACATATAGATTATTTTTGTTTATATTGTATTTATTTGTTTTTTTTGCCAAAACTTTGATATTTGGCCAATTATGCAGCATCGGGTTTTTTTTTTTAGAGTCTAGAGTTTCGTCATTTGAAATTAGGATTCGTCAAATTGATTTTAGGATTTGTCATTCTGAATTTAGGATTTGGGTTTCGTCATTTTGAGTTTGGATTTTCATATTTCACTGCGTTTTCGTTTTTCGTCATCCTGTGGAAAAGGTTTCGTCTAATAACTATATTTGAACCAGAATTTGGTCAAGTTGAATCACTTTGAGTTCACTTGAACCAGGATATGGTTCAAATTGAATCACTTTGGGTTCACTTGAACCAGAACTTGGTTCAAAATGAATCACTTCAGATCACTTGAACCAGAATTTATTTCAAGTTGAACAACTAATTTTATTTTATTCACTTTAAGTTTAATAATGAGAAATTTATTAATCGAATTACTTAAATAGTTATTCATGTTTTTAAATATTGATTACTAAGAGAAACAAAAAGTAAATTCAGATTCTACCATTTAATATTTCGAATAAAAATTATTTTAAAAAACAGAGGTACTCATTGAATCACAATAAATTATAAGATTATGTATCTCTTTTCCTTTTTAACTTATTTTTTTCAATAGTTAACTCATGCATTCTTTTTTCTATTTCAAGTTCCTTTTTTTTAAATTTTAACAATTCCATTTCTTCATCTATTTCATTGATTTTATAATCTAAATCTACATCCATTTCTGAGTTATCAGCTTGGTTTTCTACTTTTCTTTTTTTGAAATCATTTTTTTCTTGAATTTCTTGAGTTTGAATATAAATTTCTTGTGAAAAATTGATTTGAGTTTCTTGTGGAGTGAAAGAATTTTTTTGATTAATTTGTTTAGATTTGCTTTTTGTTTGAGCTTGAGTAATCTCTTTAGTTTCTTGCGGATTGAAGGAATTTTTTTGATTGATTTGTTTAGATTTGTTTTTTATTTGAGCTTGAGCAATCTCTTGAGTTTCTTGCAGAGTGAAAGAATTTTTTTGATTAATTTGTTT